AGTCAACTCTCGGTCAAACTTCTCCAAAAATCTTCTATTTTCGAACTTTCGCCAAAATACGCCGAATTGTCCTACGGACTTCCAAATCCAAATACGAACATGTGCCTAAGTCCGAAATCACCATACAGAGCTACTGGAATCATCAAAAATCTAATCTGGGGTCGTTTGCTCAAAAGTCAAATCTCTAGTCAAACTTAAGAAATCTTTAGCCTTAGATTTCTAGATTCCGTTAAATGCCGATAATTTGATCTAGGGACCTCCGAATTCAATTTTGGATATATGACCAAGTCCCAAATCACGATACGGAACTACCGGAATGGTCAAAACTCGGATCTGTGTTCGTTTGCTCAAAATGTTGACCGAATTCAACTCAATTAAGTTTTAAAGCTCTAATTCACAATTTAATCCATTTTCCACATAACAACCTTATGAAAAACTATACGTATTGTGCACACAAGTCGAGGAATTATTGATAGCGATTTTTAAGATATTAAAACAATGAGATGATTATTTAATTTAAAGATGACATTTTGGGTCATCACAATATGACCCAAATCTCCATACTCAAAACAACCCCTCTCTGAAAATGGCAGCAAGTACTGAGGCGGACCCCGAGAACCAGAATACCCGCTAGAAGAACCCGGTGCAGATGAACCTAAATTGAAGAAGCACGGGATGAACTCTAAGCTGGAAGGGTACTGAGAGATGACTGGCCCAGATGGGCACTATATGAACCATGGCCAAATGATGCATCACGATGAGTTAGACGAGTCGTCTGAGCGGGCCTATAAGGATGACCCCTACTGTGGTAGGACTGTCCCCCAGAAGGAACACCACCCAAACCTTGAGGCCTCTTGGCCTTCCTCTTCTTATGCTCTTGACTACGGACCATTTCTATCCGCCGAGCAATATCAACTACCTCGTTGAAAGTAGCAGTAGATACCCTCTCTCGAGTCATAAGCAACTGCAATTGATATGTGAGGCCATCAATGAACCTCCTAACCTCTCCTGTCAGTGGGAACCAACCAAACTATATGACGAGCCAACTCTGAAAACCTCATTTCGTACTAGGTCACAGGCATTCCGTCCTGGCATAACTATTTAAACTGTCTGCATAGCTCCTCCTTGCGAGATTGTGGCACGAACTTCTCCAAGAAGAGAATGGATAACTCATGCATGTAAGTGGTGCTACACCAACCAGCATGCACCTCTCATAAGCCTCCCACCATCTTAAGGCAGCCACAGTAAACTAAAAAGTAGTGAATGGACCCCACTGGTCTCTAGAATACCCACTGTGTGAAGAATTCACTGGCACTTATCCAAGAAGCCCTAGGCATCCTTTGACTCAAGCCCACTAAATGATGGGGGATGAAGCCTCCCAATTCTCTCTTGTCTCCTCTACTCATCATCAGTCATAACAGGACCCACCTGGGCCTAAGTATCTGCAACCGACTGGGTCGGTAGTACCTCCCGGTGTGTGAAATCCCTACATTATCTGCTTTGGAGTATGGGAGACTGGAGTCTAAGTACTTCCCCCGGCCTAAGAAGTGGTTGTTGTGGCCAGAACAGAGACCGCCTGAGCAAGGCTGTGCACACAGTCAAAATCTGAGCCAAATCCTCCTGAAGGCCTGAAATCACAATAGGCACTACTGGTGCCTGAGCTGGCCCTACTGGCTCAATTGTATCTGGTACCTACTTCTGAGCTGGAGCAACTGGTGGATCTGCAGGTGCTGCTCTAGCTGTTGTACGAGCTGCACCCCTGCCCCTACCATTGCCCCTACCGCCACCTTGGAACTTCGTAGCCCAAGCTGGTGGTACTAGTGGTTGTCCATCCTGAATGGTAGCACGTGCCCTCGCCATCTATGAGAGAATAGAATAACAGAAGTTTAGTTACCGTAATCAATAAATCTACACGACAAAAATACAAGAATGTGCAGTTTCCTAAGGGTTCGACAGGCTCTCGAAGATAAGTACAAACATCTTTGTACCGATCCGTAAGACTCTACTAAACCTGATCATGACTCATGAGACCTATGTAACCTAGGCTCTGATGCCAACTTGTCACGACCCAAAACCAACCCATCGTGATGGCGCCTCTCATAGTGCTAGCCAAGCCTACTACTCAAACATTTCCATCACTTAAGATCTTTGAGAGTTACTAAGGCCTCATTTGTTTGCACTTAATGGAGGTCTGAATCTTAAACATTCAGATCTCAGCCATTAAGTGCGTTTGTTTTTAAAGTCTGAATCTTAATTATTCAGATCTTAATCATTAAGTGTGTTTGTTTTTTTTTACTTCACAACCACTTGATGGGTCTGAAGAGGTGTGTATGATTAAGATCTATAATAAAGACTTAATTTCATTAAGATGTTATCACATATTCATTAATAACTGCCACCAGTGCCTACCATTATCAACTACCACTATGCCGCCACCACCACCACCATACTCCAACACCCCCACCACCCCATCACCCCCACCTCCACCACCACCATGCCACCATCATCCTCGATCATAGCCTCCACCATTATCGACCATCACCACCCACTATCCCACCACTCCGACCACCATCATTCTCACCCACAATCAACACTCATCCACTTCAACTACCAAAACTAACCACCCCATTACAATCAATAACCACAGTCGGCACTGCCCATCATTATAACCTACCACCACCTACCCACCACCTTCCTCAGTCACAACTACTACCACCACCCTCCATTATTAACTATCAACACCACCATCCTCAATCATAATCGCTACCACTACCAATCACTACTAGCTACTAGCATGAATCACCATCATCAACCAAAACTACCACAAACCACTGCCTCTAGTCGGCATTCACCCGTTAGTCATCACCACCACCAACTATCATATTTTAAAAAAACTGTATATTTTATTGATAAAATCAGTCAGGTTTGGTCCTCCAGGCAGCAACCTGGCCGATATACACCCCACAAGAGAAAGATAGCTAGTCCTCTTGGGTGGCCGAGAGTGTTATGTAAAAAGGACCAAAGAGGATTAGATTAGTTGGTATTTCATTTGTATTTTATGTTTATAAAGATAAATTTTATACATTCAGATGTTAAAAATCAAACAGTCTTTATTATTTAGTATTCATATCTTAATATACATCTTAATATATTCAGATGTGTATTCAGATTCAGACGTCATAATCTTAGAAAAAACAAATGAGGCCTAAAATAGTTTGATTTAAGTAAAAATATTTTTAAAATTAGAATAGGAAGTCATAACTCAATACAAAATCTCTCCCAAAATCGGGGCATCACTGAGTACATAAGCATCTACAGAAAGATATAGTCTGGCACACCATCTAGAAATAAAACTGAATACAATAAAATGAAAGATAAGGGAGGAGAGTCAAGGTCTGCGAATGCCAAGCAGCTACCTTGATGATCTCCGAAGGTCCGGGCTCCATAATTCAGCAACCGCCATGATCGGAAGCATCTTGATCTGCACACGAGGTATATGGCATAACACAAGTACAACCAACTCAATAAGTAACAAATCTAACCTTTGGACTGAAAGTAGTGATGATATCAGCAGTTACAGTTTAATATAGAGATAACCGTGCAAAAATGGAGGCACGGTTTCAAGTTCATCAGATAAAAACTCAGTACAAGAAAAATAGATCAACTCTGGGTGATATGAGGGATATGACATTTCTATATTTATATGCCACTATGCAAGTTTTATGTGATGCACTTCAATGGAAGCCTCGCGTACTCACATTCTCATAGTACTCAATCACTCAGTACTGTATATGGCCAATCCAGCACAGGAAAAATCCATCCCAAGTATATATATCAACTGACAGTCAGTCACTCAATATTGTATAAGGCCAATCCATCCCCAAATATAAATGATTCGGGCAAGATCCATGCATAGGGAAGATCAGCCCCTCAATATAAATCAACTGCGCTCACTATGGGTGTGTTGGCTCCGCCATTAATCTCTTCAGTCTCTGGGGCTCACAACGCTCAAACTAAGAAACCCTAATTAATGATACAGGATGTGACATTGTTGATACCTAATTTTTCCCTCATGTTTTATAAATATCCTATATACTTTCAAAATATCATTTCTTGCATTATTACCTAATTTATAGGAGTCATACAAGATATTTCTATAATTTTCCTTAATTTTTAAAAGTGTTATAAATAGAATTTTTTTTATGGTGAATGTCTATATTTAGAGAGATTCTAGGGTTTATTACTTAGTGTCTAAGTCACTGTCTCCCTATAAATAGAGGGTTCTATTCCATTGTAATTCATCGCAAAATTCAATAAGAATTTCCCCTCTCTCTTTCTCTGCAATATTGTTCTTCTACTTTTATTGTTTTATTACACGTTATCAGTACGATACTCTACCGTCTCAAGAAGCTCTTTGAGAAGATTAAGGTATACCTTTTCTCCTCTTTTTAATTATGACTGACATTATGAAAAGAAAGTTCGTTGCCCTTGAAATTTCAAGGAAGAACTATATGATATGGGTGTTGGATGCTGAAATCCATTTAGATGCAATGGGTCTTGGAGATGCCATTAAAGATAAAAATAAAGCATCCACCCAAGACTGTGCTAAGACCTTGATTTTCTTGTTCCATTACCTTGATGAAGGGTTGAAAATAGAATATCTCACAGTCAAAGATCCACTTGTTTTGTGGAATGGCTTAAAGGAAAGATATGACAACTTAAAGTTGGTCACTCTTCCACAAGCATGATATGACTGGGCTCATCTGAGGCTCGAAAACTTTATGTCTATTTCTGAATATAATTCTATGATGTTCAAAATTACTTCTAAATTGAAACTCTATGGAGATACTATCACTGACTATGATATGCTTGAAAAAATATTTACAACATTTCATGCCTCCAATATGGTCCTGCAACAGCAGTACAGAGAGAAAGGTTTCAAAAAGTACTATGAGTTGATTTCTCTTCTCCTTGTGGCTGAATGAAACAACGATTTTCTCATGAGAAATCATGAAAACCGACCCACTGATTCTACACCATTGCTTGAAGTGGATGAGATGTATTCCCATTATGCTATGTGTGGAAAAGACTGTGACTCTATTCGTGGTCCTGGTCGTAGACAAGGAAGAAATTTTCATGGTGTTAATCATTCCCCAAAGAGAAATAACCACCAAAAGTGGAAAGGGAAAGATGAGAAGCCAAAATCAAATGGTTCAGAAACTAAATGCTATCGTTGTGGTGGAAAAGAGCATTGGACAAATATTTGTCGTGTACCAATATATTTGGTTGAGATTTATCAAGCATCTCTAAAGAATAAAAACCCTGAAGCCAATTTTGTCTCTGACAATGATTTTGACATTACCCACTTGGATGTGGCAGACTTCTTTGAGCACCCTGATGGAAAAATGTACCATTTGATCGGTGATGGATCTGTGGTTAAAGATGATTGAGTAGTTTGATTTTTATTTTTGCATATTCGTAGTAGCTAATAAACATCATGTAATCATAGTTCTTTACATGAGTAGTAGTTATTAGTATCAATTAGTAATATTTATTTATGAAATAGTGTTAGTTCGTTTTGATCAAATACAGTTCTAATATTTGTTTTAAACAATGTTTGAGTTCACATTCTTCGTCATACGAGTTGACTATTAGTTTACAACCTCTTGCATATTCACCCAATGTTTCTTACTGAAACCTTGATGACTAAAACAATTTCATATTAATGTGAAATGATGTCTATATTTTGTATGCTTTTGTTCTTTCACCATTAAGGCGCTTAGTTGCATAACTTGCATTAGTATCCTCGATTTCCAATCTAGTTGACAATACATATATATGATGTTAACATAAATTCCTTACCTTCGGTATTTGTACATATTAGATCCAAATGGTTTTTGAATTTAATGTTGCTATAGAAAATATTAAGAGCTACTGGAATTATATTTACGGCATACAGCAGGATTGGACTAGTAATTAAGCACTAAAATAACTGGTTACCAATTTTACATCTTTCGTTAGTATCCATCTTCGTGGTACATGTGCTATGGATATATTTAGAATTAACGACCTAAAAAAAGGATTTAATAATTGTTCGTATCATAATCTGAGTTTGCTCGAAATCACATTAAAAGGTCATTATTGAATAATTGATTTAACTTTATTTCTTTCCTTTTTCTCTAAAAATACTAATACTTATTTGTATATTTCTTTTGTATGTCAAACCATGTGAAGCAAATATGGATGTCTCACAAAACAAACTTGGATCAAAGTTCAATTATAAAAATATTTGTTTAGTTGATTCATGTACGACACATACAGTATTCAAAGAGAAGAAATATTCAAGAAATATTCCTCCCATTTAAATATGTGTAAGGCTGATATTACTACAATTTCTAGTAGTAGTAAATTAATTGAAGGCTCTGGAAGAGCTACTATACCTCTGCCTAAGGGAACAATACTTATTATAGAGAATGTAATGTTCTCCTTCAAGTCCAAGAGGAACTTGTTGAGTTTTAAAGATATACGTCGAAATGGATATCATATTGAGACAATAGATAAGAATAATCTTGAATGTCTTATCATTACCAAGAATGTGTCTGGCCTAAAGAGGGTTATTGAGAAGTTCTCATCTTTATCTTGTGGCCTGTATTGGACAAGAATTAGTGCAATTGAGGCACATTCTGCGGTAAACCAAAAGGTTACTGATTCCAATACTTTTGTACTTTGGCATGATTGATTGGGACACCCTGGATTAATTATGATGAGACGAATTATAGAAAACTCAAATGGGCATCCAATAAAGAATTTAAAGATTCTTTTAAAAAATGAATTTTCTTGCACTTCTTGTTATCAAGGCAAGTTAATTATTAGACCATCACCAACAAAGGTTGGAATTGAGTCCCTTGCATTTTTGGAACATATACAATGGGACATTTGTGGACCTATTCACCCACCTAGTGGGTCGTTTAGATATTTCATGGTCTTAATAGATGCATCTTCTAGATGGTCTTATGTGTGCCTATTGTCATCTCGCAACCTCGCGTTTGCAAAATTAATGGCAAAAATAATTCGATTACAGGCGCAATTTTCAGATAATCCAATTAAGTCTATTAGACTTGATAATGCTGTTGAGTTTTCATCCCATGTATTTAATTATTATTGCTTATCAATTGGGATAAAAATGGAACATCCTGTAGCTCATGTTCACACTCAAAATGGTCTTGCAGAGTCTTTAATTAAACGTCTGCAATTGATATCAAGACCGTTACGCATGAAAATGAGGCTGCCCACTTCTGTTTGGGGTCACACCATTTTGCATGTAGGAATGCTAGTTCGTCTTAGACCGACAAATTATCATAAATATTTTCCGTTGCAATTAGTTTTGGGTCATGAACCTAATATATCCCATATAAAAATTTTTGGATGCACAATATATGTGCTCGTAGCACCGCCATATCGCACCAAAATGGGTCCCCAAAGAAGGTTAGGAATATATGTTGGGTTTGCATCACCCTCTATTATTCTCTACCTCGAAACATTAACGGGGGATTTGTTTACTACACGATTTGCAGACTGTCGATTCGATGAGACACTTTTCCCAAAATTAGGAGGAGAAGTTGGTGAAACCAAACGGAAAATTTTGTGGAAAAATCCATCATTATCTCATCTTGATCCACGTGCCTCTATTTGTGAAAAAGAGGTGCAAAAGATTATCCATTTGCAGAGAATATCAAATCAAATACCAGACGCATTTACGGATTTGAAAAGGATAACAAAATTAAATATTCCTGCAGAGAATGTTCCAATCTGTATTGATGTCCCTATTGGACAATCTTCTAGTGTCATAGCTAATGAGTCAAAAAGCACGCCTAAAACGTGGCAGACCATTAGGTTCCAAAGATCAAAATCCTAGAAAAAGGAACACAAATGATCAAAATGACACTACGAAAGAATCTCATGAATAAATCCACGATTTAATAAATTCTGAGATTCATGAGGAATCCACTGAGCCCGAGACTCAAGAAAATAAGGAACTATCAATAAATCCAATCAATATTGAGACAAATTTGAATCGAGTGGATATAGTGGTGGATTATGTCTTTGCATATAATGTTGCATCTAGCATTATGCAAGAAAGTGAGGATCTTGAACCTCAATCTATTGAAGAATGTCGAGAAAGACTTGATTGGCTAAAATGGCAAGAAGCAATCCAATCAGAGTTGAATTCACTTGCAAAACGTGAAGTTTTTTGGCCTGTAGTCAAAACACCTAATGGTGTTAAGCATGTTGTCTATAAATGGGTCTTTGTATGCAATAGAAATGAGAAAAATGAGGTACAAAGATATAAGGCACACCTTGTTGTACAAGGATTTTCACAAAGGCCTGGTGTCGATTATGAACAGACGTATTCACCCATTATGGATGCTATAACGTTCCGTTATCTCATTAGTTTTACTGTCCATGAAAAACTTGACATGCATTTAATGGATGTGGTTACCGCCTATAGAACTCCAAAAGGCAATTGATTATTTAAAGAAGGAATTCGAGATGAAAGATCTCGGAAAGACGAAATTATGTCTTGGTTTGAAAATTGAACATTTGGCAAACAAAATTTTTGTTCATCAATATGGCTATAGAAAAAGTATTGAAACGGTTTTACATGGATGAAGCACATCCATTAAGTACTCTGATGGTTGTTCGATCACTTGATGTGAATACGGATCCATTCCGACCTCAAGAAAAGAATGAAGAGCTACTTGGTCCTGAAGTACTATATCTTAGTGCAATTGGTGCACTAATGTATCTTGCCAATGCTACAAGGCCTGACATAACCTTTTCAGTTAATGTCTTAGCAAGACATAGCTCTGCTCCTACAAGGAGACATTGAAATGGAATCAAACACATATTAACCAAAGTTATTTTTCACACATGATCTTCAAAAGAATGGTGATATTAATGTGCAACAAATTCGTTCAAGTGATAATATGGCTGATTTGATCACCAAATTTCTACCCATGTCAACCTTCGAGAAGCTAGTGTACAAGATTGGGATGCGAATGCTCAAGGATGTGAATTGACACTCTCATCAGGGGGAGTTAATGCGCATTGCACTCTTTTTTCCTTACAAGATTTTGTCCCACCAGGTTTTCCTTGCAAGGTTTTTAACGAGGCAACCAAAAGGCGTATTATTAGATATGTGTACTCTTTTTCCTTTTCTAGAATTTTTTTCCATTGGGTTTTCTTTTAGTTAAGGTTTTAACGAGGCACATTATCTGTTGAATAAACATTCAGGGGGAGTGTTATAAATAGAATTTTATGGTGAATGTCTATATTTAGAGAGATTTTAGGGTTTATTACTTGGTGGCTAAGTCACTCTCTCCCTATAAATAGAGGGTTCTATTCCATTGTAATTCATCCCAAAATTCAATAAGAATTACCCTTTTCTCTTTCTCTGCAATATTATTCTTCTACTTTTATTGTTTTATTACAAAAAGCTTTAAAATTGATTTTTTTGCATTTAAATTATTTAAATATATATTAATTACCCCTTCAAATAATTTTTTAAGGACTCAATAATCCAAATTTATTATTTTCATCCACAATATATGTTTCATAACATTTTACTTTATTTTATATAATTATATTTGTATTTTTTAAACTAATATTTGCAATAATAGCCTATATGCTATGCATAATTACTTTTTTTTACATTTTTTGTGCAAAATAGTATATTTATATTTTTACAATGTTAAGCTATTATTTTCAAACACTTTAATGCATAAATAGTATTTTCTATTTAAATTATCGCCCAGCTTTAAAATGAATCTCAGACCAAAAATAGGCCCAAAACATTTGGCCCGCTTCATTTTGCCTTCAGTAGCCCAACTAAATAATCCATTTTCTATACTCGGGCGGGACCCGTTTTATGACCCGCCCCACCTCTCTTTTTAATCTTGGTCATCGATCTCAAATAATCAACGGCCTATAAACCATCCCTCTCGTTAATTAACCAAAATCACCCGGAAACCCTCCCACTTCTCAAAGACCATCGCCCTCAAACGCTCTCCTCTCCTCTGATACCAAAACTTAGCCGCCTCACTAAAATCCTAATACCAATCCCATATCATATGGAAATGTTCCATGATTCCTTTCCTTTCTTGCACACACGGAGATACTTACACCCATCTTTTAAACATTACAAGTATTTGATACTCGATTATTTATGGAAGCTGAGTCATTGGTGTTCGTTCAACCCCGATTGTGGATTATCTTCATGTTTCTGACCTAATACACTCACTATCAGGCTCTATGGGCCCGATTCAGTGAGATTTTTTACTATTTTTGTTCTTCATTTTAAACTAGGGTTTGTCGGATTCCTCCTAAATTGATTCTAATCGATTTCGCATGCTATTCTTTCCTTACTTGTGTTTAATCGGTTGTTTTTCTT